CCTAGTTTCTAGAGACGGCCATACTAGCCCAGGCAGGGGCAATTCCAGCAGCAACAACCTCTTTATCTAGGTAGACAAGAGCATACTATTCCTCAATAGCAGGTGTGTCAATTTTAGCAGCCGGGTATGGTACCAGCCGCCCAGTATCGCGTGACTCGATGGAGGAGCTGCGAGACATTGTTGGCTCCCTTGTTAACTCCAGTGCCCATAAATTAAGTAACATAGAGCGGTTCATGGAGAAGGCTTCGGGAAGTTCCTGAATCTTGAAGCTGGTCAGAGGTCACATGAAGTCGGACAGCGGAATACACAAGCTGTTCTGTGAGATATCCATACCCAGCTAGGGAGTGTGGCTAAAGCAGTAGCACAGAAAGCTCCGAGTATCCTACCTGGTCAGACCATCCTGCACTTGTTGGACCTGAATGAGCATTGCAAGGCCATCACTACTAGGAGTGGTAGGGTGACTGCCGATCCAACTGTTCGGGCTAGACAGGCGGTGGAAAGAGCTGCTTCAGTTGTTCCATCAGATGCGAAAGACAGGGAAAAGGAGATTGAGGGGCATGTTCCTAAGCCACAACCAGTGGTGAAGGAGTATGTCCTCAGCTTTCTTTCCCTACACGGTTGCACAAAGACCGACTAGAGACTGAGTTTGCCAAGTTTATGGCAATCCTGAAGCAGGTGAACATTAGTATGCCCTTCGTAGAGGCATGGTCGAAGATGCCCAAGTATGTGAAGTTCATGAAGGATCTCCTCACCAACAAGAGGAAGCTTGGGGAGCTATCGACAGTGATGCTCAACGAGGAGTGTTCTACCATCCTGCATAACAAACTACCGGAAAAGCGAAAAGACCCTGGGAGTTTAACTATCCCGTGCATGATGGGTAGCTTGCATGAAGGAAAGTCCTTGGCGGATTTAGGCGCTAGCATTAATGTCATGCCATATAAATTGTTTAAGAAGCTAGGCATAGGTGAACCCAGTAACACTAGGATGAGCATACAGTTAGCAGATAGATCTATTGTGCATCTTAGGGGTATTGCAGAGGACTTGATAGTCGCAGTAGGGTCATTCTCCTATCCTATTGATTTCGTTATTCTTAATATTAATGAGGATGTGGAGGTGCCTTTGATTCTGGGCAGACCTTTGCTCGCCACCACCAGGGCGCTTATCGATGTTAATGATCGTAAACTGATTTTGAGGGCTGGGGGTGAACAAATCACTTTCTATGTGTATGATAACATGAAACACCCCCCCAGCTCCATGAAGACTTAGATTAGTGCGATGTGATTGTTGATTTTGAGACCGCACTCGCCATCACGAGTGCGGGTACTAATAATCTCCTCGAGCGTTGTCTTTTGCTAGGGGAACATGCATCACAGGAGCAAAGCTAGAGGGATCTGCGATGGAGGGGCGAGAGAAGCCATTCAAGCGGATCTCTATCTCGCTCCGGATCGCCACATCATTGGAGGAGCCACCTGAGCTGATGCTTAAGCCCCTTCCCTCTCACTTGGAGTACACATTTCTCCGGGAGGGGAATAAGCTCCCGATGATTATCAGCTCAGAACTGACCCCCGAGCAAAAGAGAAGTCTGGTGGCTCCGCTGCAGAAGTACGCCCGGGCCATGGAATGAAAGATAACTGACATTAAAGGCATTAGCCCATCCTTCTGCTCCCACAGAATTCTGATGGAGGATGAGGTTAAGCCAGTCTGGCAGCTGCAGTGGAGATTGACTCCTAACTTTGAGGTAGTGGTCTGGGCAGAGATCGTGAAGTTAATAGATGCAGGGATCATCTTTGCTAGTGGTTTAGTCCCACTCAGGTGGTCCCGAAGAAAGGCGGGATGACTGTGGTCCCAAATGAGAAGAATGAGCTGATCCCGATGCGGACTGTGACTAGCTGGCGAGTCTGCATTGATTACCGGTGCCTGAACGACGCCACTAGGAAGGACCATTTCCCGCTACCTTTCATTGATCAGATGTTGGAGAGGTTAGCTGGCCATGAGTTCTACTGCTTTCTGAATGTCATGTCTAGATACTTCCAGAGCCCGATTGCACCAAAGGATCAGGCGAAGACCACCTTCACATGCCCCTTTGGCACTTTTGCATACCGGAGGATTCCATTCGGGCTCTACAATGCCCCGGTGACAATCCAGCGGTGTATGATGGCGATCTTAGACTGAATGGTTGGAGAGATCATGGAAGTCTTCATGGACGACTTCTTGGTTTATGGATACTCTTTCACTCATTGTTTTGATAACTTGGAGCTTGTCCTGAAGAGGTGTGAGGAGACTAATTTGGCACTCATCCGGGAGAAGTGCCATTTTATGGTCCGTGAGGGGATTGTACTCGGGCACAAGATCTCCAAGCAGGGGATTGAAGTGGATCGCGCGAAGATTGAGATGATAAGCAAGCTTCCTCCTCCCATTTCTGTGAAGGGGATTTGCAATTTTTTGGGTCATGCAGGTTTCTATAGGAGGTTCATTGACCAAGCTGCTCGAGAAGGATGCACCCTTTCATTTCAATCCAGAGTGCACGACTACATTCGATACCTTGAAGGAGAAGCTTACCCATGTACCCATCATGGTGACTCCTGATTGGTCTCTTCCCTTCGAGCTGATGTGTGATGCGAGTGACTATGCGGTCAGAGCTGTTCTAGGTTAGAGATGCGAGAAACATTTTCAGTCCATCTAGTACGCGTCAAAGACCTTGAACTATGCACAGTAGAACTACACCACCACGCGAGAAACATATTTTTCGTGGTGTATGCCTTTGACAAGTTTCAAACATATCTAGTGCTCTCCCATGTGGTGGTCTACACAGATCACTCCGCCATCCGCTACTTGATGAGTAAGGTCGATGCCAAGCCTGGACTCATCCGCTGGATCATGCTTCTGCAGGAATTTGACATTGAGATCCGAGACAAGAAGGGAGTGGAGAATGTTGCTGTCGATCATTTTTCACGGTTGGAAGCTCCACCAGCGGACAACTTCGTAGAAGAGATCAACGAATCCTTCCCGGGGTGAGTGATTGTTGGCACTGTTCTTGGTGGAGAGCGTCACCCCTTGGTATTAGGGATGGCAGTGTGTCTGGTTGGGTCGGTTTTTGCCAAACCCAAACCCATGGGTTTATCCGTGAAAAAAACCCGGGGTAAAACCCATTGGCTTTGAAAAACTCAAACCCAACCCAACCCACTGGGTATCCGCGAGTTCATGGGTACCCATGGGTTTTTATCGTAAAAAATTTACAATAACAAGTTCCTATCAAAATTAAAGTCAAATATCAATCTCTCAATACAAATTATCCATATATAAAACACCATTCTAGAAAATTCAAACAAATCACAAATTAACTATACAAATTGTTCAACACCAATCTAGAAAACTAAAGAAAATTGAAGTAAAACACAAATTATCCATAAATAACATGATTAATTGAAAGCTTCTTCCTCCTTATCAATTAAGTTTCTTCACTTTCCACTCGATAACATCAACTTCATTCTACACAACTAGAAAGAAAAAAATTAGACATGTCTCCATAAACATAAATAAGATTAGTTGTTTAGAATATTAAATATACCGAGAAAATAATTATATGGTGTGGGCGGGTACCCATGGAGGGTTTACCTAAACCCAAACGCAACCCGGTGAATAGTGAACGGGTTGGATCGGGTGGGCACCCGTGGGTTCGGGTTTTATTGCCATCCCTACTTGGTATTCTGACTTTGCCAATTATCTGGTGGGCAAACAGTTGCACAAGGGGATGAACACTCACACCAAGCGCAAGTTCTTCTCTGGCCTGAAGCATTATTTCTGGGAGGATCCTTACCTCTTCAGGATCGGAGCAGATGGCGTGATCCGGTGATGCGTCATGGAGCACAAGATGGGAGGGGTCCTGTCCCAATGCCACGAGGGACCAACGGGCGTTCATCATGGTGGAAAGCGCACGACGCTGAAGGTGCTACAGTCGGACTTCTATTGGACCTCATTCTTCAAGGATGCTGATGCCTTCGCACGACGGTGCGACCGTTGCCAGAGGTCAGGCAACGTCTCTTCCCAGGATGAGATGCCCCAACATATTTCTATTGTTTGTAAACAATTTTATGTTTGGGGCATCGATTTCATGGGCCCATTCCCTCGATCCTTTGGTAATCTTTATATACTGGTTGCGGTGGATTACGTCTCAAGGTGGGCAGAAGCTCAAGCCATGCCCACCAATGATGGAAGACAGGTCTGCTCATTTTTGAAGCAGTTATTCTCCCGGTTCGGGACACCTCGAGACATCATAAGCGATAGAGGAACCTATTTTCAAGGGCAATTGCTAAACTCCTCTCTCGCTATGATGTTAAGCATCAGGTGTCAGTGGGTTTCCATCCACAGACGAATGGTCAAGCCGAGCTAACGAACCAGGAGCATAAGAGAATAATTGAAAAGACGATGGATCTGTCCCGCAAGGATTGGTCCACCAAGCTAGATGATGCTCTCTGGGCATATAGAACAACTTACAAGAAGCCGATTGTTACTTCACCATATCATCTTGTCTATGAAAAGGCTTTTCATTTGCCGGTTGAGCTAGAGCATAAGACCTTCTGGGCCCTTAAGCCGCTAAACCTGGATTTGAGTGTTGCAGGTACTGAACGTAAGCTGTAGATGCTAGAGTTGGAGGAATGACTTTACCACACCTATGAGAATACTCGACTCTAAAAGAGTTTCAGGTTGGTGATTGAATTTTGCTCTATAACGCACGCCTGAAACTCTCCCCGGGCAAGTTGCGTTCACGGTGGTCGGGCCCATTCACGATCACCCAGGTGTTCCCGCATGGTGCGGTGGAGATCAGCAATGCTCAAACTGAGCTGTTTGAGGTGAACGACCACCTCCTAAAGTTGTATCTGAGAGGTGATATGGAGTGCGCAGAGCTGCTGATCAAGCTTGAGGACCCTTAGTTTCTCTGTCTGCGTCTAGCTAAAGAAGTAAAAAAAGCTCTTATGGGGAGTCAACTCCACCACGGTTTGCATTTCTTTTCCTTTTTGTTTGTTTTGAGTTTGTTTATGTGTGGTAAGTCTGTCTTGAGTAATTTCCGTGGCTCCAGGTACCATGTGTTCCTTGCCGTCCGTTCGTATGTGGTGCGTACAAATGAGGTGGGCAGGAATCCCCATCCAAAAACACGGCCTCTCCCCCTAAAAAAAAGAGGTTGGGTTTTCGGTGTCCTTCGCGTAAGAGAAGGCAGGGTCATGTTTTGAAAACCCGCCCTCTAAACCCGCCCGGGTTTTTCCCACAAGTGAGAGGTCCTGTTTTCTGCTTTTCAAAACTTTGCCTCCCATCTTCATCGTGTTTTCGTTTCTTCCCCACCCTCTCCCGTGAATGCGACCAACCACCTGCTCGACCGCCCTCTGTAACCTCACGAGTGACCACCGCCATCGGCTCCCCGCCATCGCCTTCCCCAGCCCTTGCCCGTCGGCGTCTGCACTAGGAGCCGCCGCCTGCTCCTCTACTCTTCCCGTCAGCTGCAGTTCAGCACCGGCAACCACTCCGTTTCTGGCATCTCTGCGGCGTCCCACCCCTCCCATCTCCTTTCCTTAGTCTTCTTCTTGTGTTTTTAGGTAATTTTGAGCATCAATTTGTTCTTTCTCTAGAAAAATCAAATTCTAGGGTTCTTGGTTAGGAAATTGGGGATTTTCGAAAATTGGCACAATTAGAGGGGAAACTTCCAATAAATTGATACTCCCTTGAATCGTAGCATGTTGTGCTCGTGTATGCCAAACAGGTTGGAGTATGGTGGGTGAATTTCGTGTTTCGCTCTTCATGTTGCGTTGTGCCCACCATCTGTTCGATAGACGGCCTCAATGAGCTTTTGCACTTTGAATATGCTTGTGTTTGCTCGAATTTAGTTCTTGGGTGCTCTTTGTTGCCTTCCTTTTCTGACCTTGGGGTGCTTGTTGGTGGTTTTTCACCTTCTAGCTTGATTTTCGTACTAATGGCTTTGTTGGGTTTGTGAATTGTTTCTTGGTTGGTTGCCTTCTTTATAGTCTATGCATGATGAATCACAATAGACGCAGCAGTCATGGCCAACAAGGCAGTGATGGGGGTCGCGGTCACGGATGAGGCAGGATACAGCCTGACAAACCTGTCGAGTCTCCCATTCAGCTTGAATGGTTCGACATCATATTGCTCAACCTGGAGGCTCAAGAGTAGCTTACCCAGCTCTCTTCACTACCTTTTGGTGAGTCTCGTTGTTTGGATTGGGACACCATGTGCTCTGTTTGAATTTTGACTCCATTAATGACAGGATCGGTGATGGTGCTTGGCGGGTCGTGTTTGAGCTCAATGAGATCATCTACAGGGAGCTCACATTAGAGTTCTTGGCCTCTTTCACCCTCACCAAGGCCGCTTTGCAGCAATTCTCCTTATCCAATGGGATTACTTTTTGCCGTGGAGGCCAGCTACATACTATGTCTCTGACCCAGTTTAGCATTGCCATGGGATTGTACTTCGAGGACTTTGTTCAAGGTCCCCACTACGATCGCCTTCACACTGAGGCCACATTCGCGACACCGACCTTTCTGGATCATTGGCAGCATACACTCACCCATGTTTTTGTGGGTCTTCCTTTCGAGCAACACAATGTGATAAACCGTGAATTGCACACGTTTTACCCCTATTCCTGAGCCGTTTGAGATGTTGATTCTCATGTTTTAGGCCGATTTCACACTATGTTGTGCTTGTTTGTGATATTTCAGGTCCTAGTACGTGAATGTAGGTTTGGGAGCGACTTCAGGGTCGATTGGACGAAGATCGGACGTGTGGCGAGCCGCTGAGGAAGCCACACGGGCACACATAAAACCCACACGGCCGTGTGAGGAACCAATGTGGCCGTGTGGGATTGTGCGAGCCTTCACACAGGCAGACTGGAGATCCTACACGGCCGTGTGTCCCTGGCCGTGTAGGCAGCCTGAAGTTCAATTATTTGAAACGCCAAGTTTTGACTCTCACACGGGCATCTGGGTAAACCACACGGCCGTGTGGCCTACCCGTGTGAGTCAGGAATTCTGGTTTTTACCCAATTTTGAGCCACAAGTGAGGGAATCGACTTTTCAGAGCCAAAACAGAGTTTTAGAGAGGGAAAGGGCGAAGAACAAACCCTAGGAGCTATTTGGAGTGGATTTCTCACCATTGAAGCCCAGATTGCGTCCCCAGGAGTGAAGATTGACATCCCAGAGCAGATTTTCCTCATCTTTATGAGTATGACTACTCTGATTTATGTTTTCCTCTCTCTCTCTCTCTCTCTATGGAGTAGAACCCTTCTCTTACTTGGGTATGAAGAACCCTAGTTCCATGTGTTAGGGATTTGATTATAATGACTTGGGATTATTATACTGTTTGGTTTTAATCGAATGATGCATGATTCATTGAATTGATTGAAGTCTGATAAGCTTTTCTTGATTTCTGCTGCAACCTGAGATAGATAGAATCTGATTAGGTTGTTAGAGCTTCATCATTCGGTAGTAGTGGATTGGTTATACGAGAGTTAGCCAGTCTACTGCTTTGTACTGGAATCCAATTCCAGTAGTGGAGTTCTGTGCTTATTGCTTCAGCTTTCTATCCCGGTGAAGACTAGTCGTCTGCCGGGTAGTTAGACTGAGAGGGCTTGGTCAGCTTAAGAGATTCCAAGCTACTGTCGGATCTTCCGCAGTGTAATCAATAGTAAATCAACCTAGGGTATTTACAATTGAGACCTAACTAAGGAGCTAGGGGGACTCATTCCCGAGTGACTCTTCTTTGCTTGAGAAAACCGAACCAATTCCTGCTTTCTTTCTGCTTTTAGTTAAGACAAAAACCAATCGACTTAGCCTGCTAGATAATAGAAAATCACGAAGTAGGCAGTAGATCTAGACCCCGGGTTGATATTTAGAACTTGCCACTTTACTGCATTCCCGGACTGCGATTACACTTGGTCGCAGTTTGGTGTTGTGTTTTGGCGTGGCAAGTTTTTGGCGCCGTTGCCGGGGACCCTCTAGGTTATTGGAGAAACGTGAAAATTTGTTACTCTAGCTTTTTCTTTACTGCATTTTCTCTCTTCGACCTGTGTGCCTTCACGGGTTGCTTCTGCTGATTGTGTGCAGGTAGTGCATGACCCGTAGCCAGTCGGGAGATCTACTACAATTAGACCAGGAGCTTGAATGAACCTGCAGGAACTTCAAGCGGGCTCTATAGGCGCGACTAGCTGCGGAGGACGAGCTAGCACAGCTGCAAATCGCCGAAGAAGAAGAGATGGGTGATCCACAGGACCATGATGTGGTCCTTCCCGAGGAGCAGACCATGGGATATTACTGGACCGCCAGGGCCGCGGACATGAGGTGACCCATTCAACACCCTCATGTCCCAACCAACAATTTTGAGGTGAGCACCTCCGTCATCACCATGCTGCGCGGTTCGGTGGTGTTCCGTGGCAAAGAGGGGGAGTGCCCTCGATCACATCTTAGGCGATTCCACGGGCTCATCGATGGAATAAAGATAAATGGGGTCCCAGCAGATGCCATCCAGCTGAGGTACTTCCCATTTACCCTGGAGGGACAGGCCAAGGAGTGGCTAGACACTAGGCCTCCCGGATCAATCACCACGTTCGCCAACCTGGCGGACAAGTTCCTCACTCGCTACCATCCTCCAACCAAGACGGCGGACCTGCAGAAGCAGATTACCCATTTTGCTCAGGATGAAGACGAGACCATCCGAGATGTCTGGGAGAGATACACCAATCTCTTTCTCAAGTGTCCCAACCATGGTTTTACTGATGCCTTCAAGGTGGGAACCTTCTACCATGCCCTCTTCCTAGAAGACAAGTAGCTGATTGACTCAGTCTGTGGCGGGAATATGCTCACCAAAACACCGCCACAGCTGAACCAACTCTTTGAAGAGATGGCAGAGCAGGGCTATGACTGGGGAACTGCGAGGAGATTGAGACGAGCACCAGGACGGGGTGTGCATCCTGTATCCACCTAGTCATCTGATCTGGTGCAGGTGGTATCGAAGCTGGTTTCAGCTATCGATCGTTCCGGGATGATTGCAGGTACCGGACATCAGCAGGCGATGCTCTGCCAGTGGTGTAAGAGTTCTCATCACACCGTGGAGGATTGCCAGGCGATGAGGGAGTCTTCTACTCCCCAGGAGCAGCTGGACTTCATCGGCAATGCCAGGCGCTTCGACCCTACAGCAACACCTACAACGAGGGGTGGCGCCAGCATCCCAACTTCTCCTGGGGTGGGGCAAATTCCAAACCACCAGTCTCCCAGGGACCACCTGGCTTCCAGAGGCCTCCTTACCAGCCCAGACAAGGGCAATTTCAGCAGCCACAACAGCCACTCTACCCGCCCAGACAAGGACCAGTTCCACCTCTGTCACAGGTGCGGCCATTTCAGCAGACAGGGGCAGCACCTGCAGCCTCAGCACAGAGTGACCCGATGGCGGAACTGCGAGATTTGGTGGGTTCTCTAGCCACCTCTAGTGCAACCAAGTTCAATAACATCGAGCAGTTCATAGAGAAATCTTCAGGAAAATTCATGGAGCTAGAAGCTGGTCAGAGAAACACGCAGGCTGTGCTTCGAGATATCCAGACCCAGCTTGGGAGTGTTGCCCAAGCTGTAGCTCAGAGGACTCCTAGTACTCTACCTGGTCAGAATATCCCTCATCCGCATGACCCGAATGGCAACTGCAATGCCATCACAACCAGGAGTGGCAAGGTGACTGCCGATCCACCTGTTCGGGCAGAAGAGAGAGAGACCCCTGCTTCAGCACTTCCAGCTATTGAAGCGGAAATGGAGAAGGAGGTTGAGGTGCCTGCTCCTAAACCACAACCAGTGGTGAAGGAGTATGTACCCCAGCTCCCCTTTCCTACTCGGTTGCACATGGACCGACTGGAGACTGAGTTTGCCAAGTTCATGGCAATGCTGAAGCAGGTGAATATAAGCATGCCCTTCGTCGAGGCATTATCGAAGATGCCCAAGTATGCTAAGTTCATGAAAGATCTCCTCACCAACAAGAGGAAGCTTGGGGAGCTGTCAACGGTGATGCTCAACGAGGAGTGTTCTGCCATCCTGCAGAACAAACTACCAGAGAAGCAAAAAGACCCAGGGAGTTTCATTATCCCTTGCATGATTGGTAGTTTGCATATATAGAAGTCCTTGGCGGATTTAGGCGCTAGCATAAATGTCATGCCATATAAACAGTTTAAAAAGCTAGGCCTAGGTGAACCCAGTGATACTAGGATGAGCATTCAACTTGCTGATAGATCCATTGTGCATCCTAGGGGCATTGTAGAGGACTTGATAGTCGCAGTAGGGCCATTCTCTTATCCTGTTGATTTTGTGATTTTGGACATAAAAGAGGATGTGGATGTGCCATTGATATTGGGTAGACCTTTTCTCGCCACCGCCAAGGCGCTCATTGATGTGAATGATGGAAAACTGATTTTGCGAGCTGGGGGTGAACAAATCACCTTCTCTGTTTCTGATAATATGAAACACCCCCAGCTCCATGATGATCTAGATTACTGTGATGTTGTTGCTGATTTTGAGACCGCGCTCGCCATCACGAGTGCGGGTACTGATGATTTCCTTGAGCGTTGTCTTTTGCTAGGGGAACAGGCATCACAGGACGTGCAGCTGGAGGAGCAGCTCACGGAGCTAGACGAGGCCGCGATCGAGGGGCGAGAGATACCATTCAAGTCCATCCCTATCTCGCCCCGGATCGCTACATCATTGGAGGAGCCACCAGAGCTGGAGCTTAAGCCCCTCGCCTCTCACCTGGAGTATGCATTTCTCCGGGAGGGGAATAAGCTCCCAGTCATTATTAGCTCGGATCTGACACCCAAACAGAAGAGCAGGCTGGTGGCTCTGCTGCAGAAGTATGCCTGGGCCATGGCATGGAAGATCACAGATATTAGAGGCATTAGCCCATCCTTCTGCTCCCACAGAATTCTGATGGAGGATGAGGTTAAGCC